GGTGTGACCCCTGGCTGGGCTGACCAGGACATCCCAGCACACCAGTGGCAGCTCCTTGTCCCCACTGTGGCTGCAGGGACACAATTCCTCCATTTCCCCCAGTCCACCCCTGGGGGCAGAGGGGAGGGGAGAACCCCCAGGAGGTTTTGGGATCCCCCTGCCCCCACGGCACCCCTGGTGGGGTGACAGAGCTGTTTGGGCTGTCCCCCCTGTGCTGGCCAGCCGGGAGAGAAGGGACAGTGTCCCCTTTGTCCCTGTGCTGGCCTGGGGCGGGGTGTGAGCAGGGAATGTCCCCCTGCAGGGAAAACCCTGTCCCACAGGAGCTGTGCCTTTCCTGAGCTGCCTCTCCTGCCTGCCCAGCCCCCTGGCCCGGCTCTGGGGCACTCTGAGCTGCAGTGGCCCCAGCTGGGGTTTGGTGGCCACAGGGAACTGGAGCCTCGCTGTTCCCGGCTCCTTTGAAGGGTTTGTGGCTGCCCACAAGGACCTGCCTGTGGCATCCTCTGGCCGCTCATTTCGGGACCACCAGCGAGCTCAGGGCTGGGGCTGTGGCCACCTTTTGATATCAAAAGCTATCTCAAAGGCAGATATTGAGAAATATTTGGGTGGAGGGAGCTGGGCTGGGATTTCGGAGTGCTGGGAGCCCCCGGCTGCAGCCAGGGAGAAATGCTTGGTGTATTCCTGTGGGTGGCACAGGTCATTAATTTGGGGGGCTGGAGCCCCTGGCTGGCTCTGGGAGACCACCAGAGCTTGGACAGAGCAGCTCGGGTTCATCCTCCTCCTCCCTTCATCCTTAAATACCACCCTGCAGAGTGCAGGGAAAAAATAAATCCACTTCAAACAGCCCAGTTTGGTGGTGCCTGCAGCACTATTTATATTTTTATCGCTCCTCTGGGTTTTATGGAAGAACCTTTTTCATGGAAACTTCGGCGTGGGGTGGATTCATGCAGCCACCATCCTGAGAGAGCCATTCTGGAGCTGGGGGGTGGGCAGATCCCAGGGGATCCCAAATCCAGGTGATCCAAGTTCCATTCAGAGCTAGTTTGGTTCTCAGGCTGTGCTGGAGGTTCTGAGTTTGGTTGGAGGAGTTCTTCCCTCCTGGAAGTCCCACAGTATCCCAGGAAAATGCATTTCTGAGGGTGAAATAAATGAAATGTCCAGACCAGACCCAATTCCTGCCCAGCAGGTTTTTGCCTGTCGTTTTTAGGGATGGAAGGTGGATTTTGGGGTTGCTCCAGGGCTAAGCCCAGCTCCTGCTGGCACCCTCTGCTCTCCCATTCCCCACAGAAAACCATCCCAATCTCCCAGCTTCCCACTGGAAGGTGTTTCATGGGAGGCTCCCGTTGCCAAACAGCCTGGAGATGTTTTCCTTCCTCTTCCAGCAGGAGCACTCAGGTGTTCCCTGGATCTCTGTGGGATGCTGGGCTCTGATCTGGTATGGGATTTAAACCTTTGTCACAGCAATGGCCTTGCACAAACCCCTGGCTTTTGCCAGGTGACTTCCAGCAGCTCCCAAAGCTCCTCCTACTGATTTTTCCCAGCCTTTCAGGAGAAATGGCCATAAAATTGTGACTTTTGGGGACAAACCACCTGGTTCTTCACTCCTCAGCACCCTGAGCCACACTCAGGGCCACATTTGGTCTTTTCATGTTCACCTTCCACCCCTCCCCACATCCATCACCCCCTGTGGCATCTCCACTGCTCCCATCCTGTAAAAACCCACCCAGAGGTTTTTGGGGTGGGAATTTCTTCCCTCCCAGCTCCAAACCAGCCCTGCTGTGAAGCTGGGGCACCTCCTGGCACGGGGAGCCCGGGAGGGGTGGGCAGAGCCCCGAGGCTGGCCCTGCTCCTGGATCTGTGGGCTGAGGGCACACGGGGCAGCTCCAGGCTGTTTGTCTTGGAGATTAAATCTGGAGAGCCTCCGGTCTCCAGGTCCCTGCCTGGAAAAGAGGGGCAGGAGGGAGGGAAGGGAGAACACACCTTTAACCCTCTGGAGGCTGGAAAGGCAGTGGATGGAGGGCAGGGAGAGGGGGAAAGGAGGGGGGAAATGGGGCTGGGCAGTCCCTTGGGAAGGAATTGTGGCACCTGCTCGGGAAGTTGAGGCAGGAATCCTTTCCCTGCTCCTTGTGCACAGTGGAGCGTCCCGTGGGGAGCAGGGATGCTGCAGCCAGGATCGTTCATCCTGGGAATGCTGAGCATGCAACCCTGGGATGGCTTGGCTTGGGAAGGTCCTTAAAGCCCATCCAGGGACACCTGCCACTGTCCCAGGCTGCTCCAGGCTGGCTTTGGGCACTTCCAGGGTTCCAGGGCAGCCACAGCTTCTCTGGGAATTCTATTCCAGGGCTTTCCCCCCTTCCCAGGAAAGAAGTTTTTCCTCATAACAACCCAGCCTTGCTGTGTCAGTTTGGACCCCTCCTCAGCCCTGCTGCAGGGTCGGTGTGTGAGACCCTAATCCTGAACTTCTCTGCCTCGGGGCTTTCCCTGCAGCTCTTTAGTGCCCATTCCAGGGCTGGATCCCCCTCTGCATCCCAGCCCTGGCTCTCCTGCCTCCCCAGAGGTGTGAGGGACACGGGGACATCTCCACCTGCCTGTCCTGGACCCCCAGGTGGCTCAGCCTCCTCCTCCTCCTCCCGAGCCTGCTGCTGGGCTTTGCCTTTAAATCCCCTTCAGGTGCCGAGCCTGGGGCAGGCAGGAGGGAGAGAGGGAGGGAGGGAGAGCATCTCCTGTGCTCCAGTGTTCCCAAACACTTCAGCCATGCACGGAGTGTTCCCAAGAGCCCAGGGCTGCCTTTGCCGGGGTGTTTATCCAGAGGGATGGTGCCTGTGAGCCTCTGGCACTTCCAGGCCAGGTAGGCTGTGTTTATCCTGGGCTGGAGCTGGGGCTCAGCCAGGGCTCGGCTCCTCTGAGATAGAGAGGATTTCAAAAAGCCCTGATTGTGAGGAGCCAAACGCACGGCAAACGCAGCCCCCAGCAGCTGGACCAGGCTGAACTGGTGGAACTGGGCCAGAGGGAGCTGGGGGAGCACCCCCTCCTCTGCCAGGGCAGGTGGGATCTGAGAGGGGTGGGTTCACTGGAAAGCTTTGGGCTGGAGTTGCTGCATGCTCCATTTTCCTCCTTTATTTTTGTTGTGTTTAACCTTCAGTGGGGTCGGGATCTCTCTCCCAGATGATCCCAGTTTGGGACTGGGGACACTTGTAGGAGCCCCCAAAGCTGGGAAACCAGAGGGGCTGTTCCCAACACGGCTCCTTCAGAGAGTCCTTCCCTGAGCATCCCAGTGCTGGGACTGGGTTGGACTGGGTGAACTGGGCTGAACTGGGTGAACTGGGGTGCACTGGATCATCTGGGCTGCAGTGGCTGAATTGGGTTGCACTGGGTGAACTGGGCTGCAGTGGCTGGACTGGTGTGTACTGGATCATGTGGGCTGCACTGGGTGAGTTGTGATAAAGAATGCTAAAGTTCTGGGATGTTCTGCCTGGGGAGGTGGTGCAGTCACCACCCCTGGGTGTGTTTAACAAAGCCTGGATGTGGCACTGGGGGCCAGGGTTTGGTTGAGGGGTTGGGGCTGGGTTGGACTCAATGATCTTGAAGGTCTCTTCCAACCTGGTGATTCTGGGAATTCTGTGATTCTGTGAACTGGGCTGCACTGGGTGAACTGGCCTGGACTGGGTGAACTGGGCTGCACTGGGTGAACTGTGCTGCCCATGGATCTCCATCCCGCGTTCTCACCATCCTCTCTGTCCATTCCAGAGCTCTCCAGCTGCTCTGAGCACCCCTTGGATGTGGAGCCTCCCTCTCCTCCAGCTCCTGTGTCCAGCCTGGCAGGGAAAGCCCAGGGTGCAGCAGCCTGGGCTGGGCACAGCCCCCTGATTTAATCCCAGAGGAACAATTTAATTAAGGGAGATGCAAATCTCATCCACTGGGAGTTCTCCTTGCAGGGCCTGAGCCCTGCCCAAGGGAGAAGAGGAGGCTGGAGGGAGGAAGGCTGGGCACTGCTGGGCTCCTTCTCCCTGCTCCAGCACTGGACAGGTCTCTGGCTTGGGATTCCCCTCCCAAATCCCAAATCCCACATCCCATTGAAGTTTTATGGCTTCAACCACTAACCAGCACAGCCAGGAGGAAGCAGGGAGCAGGGAACTGGGTGTAGCTTGGAAAAATCAGGTTTTGTGCCTGCAGCCCTTTTGTTATCCCATAAAAATATCTCCCTTGGAATCTTGCTTTGCTGTAGAGTGGTTTTGTTGTGGGAATGCTGGGAGCAGGGAGGTGTTGGGAAAGGGGACAAGCAGGGGTGGGGACAGAGGATGTGCAGAATCCAGCAGGGATGCAGCTGCAGACAACTTTCCTTCCCCCTGCTCAGATCCCAGGGGTGCTGTTGGGAATGAGCTCCCTGGACATGGCAGGACCCCCTCAAATCCCTGCCCTGCAGGAAACCCCCAGGCTCCAGCAGGGAGAGCCCATTAAAAGGGAATGGGCCAATCAATAAATCAAGGGCAGCTGGAAAATGAAGCCAGGGCGCTGGGAGAGGAGTTTTGCTTTTTTCCAGGGTTTTTTTTTCCCCTCAATTAAAGCAAACAAAGCTCCCGGTGCAGGCGGGTGCTGAGCTCGGGGTGCCGGGGAAATGAGCTCGGTAAATTACAGCTGGGTGTGTGGAGGTGCTGAAAAGGGATCAGCTGTTCCCCAGTTCTGCAGGAAGCTGGGATTTTCTCCCAAAATCCATCTCCAGGTGGATCTTACACGGATGTCAGGGAGGGGAAGGAGACACTTGCGAAGATTGTGCTGAAGGGATTGGGAATGATCCCAAAGATCTGTTGAGATTGGGTGACAAATCCTTGGCTTCATCCCTGTCCTTAGCAGTGTTTTATCCTCGTTCTGTCCATGTTTCATCCATGTTTCACCCATTTTATCCATATTTTAGCAGTGTTTTAGCCATGTTTGATCCCAGTTTTCTGTTCCACTCAAAGGGAAGTCATTTACAAGGAATCCCTTTCTCAATTCCCCACATTTAGGCCTCCCCAGCCGTTCCTGGCTCAAGCCCTGCCCTGCTCGATGCTCCTGGAGGGTTTTTGGTGCCACTCTCCAGTTTGGGGCACCCAAAAGGGACAAAGAGCCCCAAATCCACTCCCCTCTGAACACCAAATTCCAGGTGAGTCCTGAATTTTCCCACTTTTCCCCAGCCCCTTACCCTGGTGACCCCAGGGCCCTTCTGCTGCAGCTGAGAGGGAATTTTGCCTCTTGATCCAGCAGAGAATTCCGGGTGGGAATTAAGCAGAGTTTTGCTGTGCTAATTTCCCTCTGCTGGGTTCTGTCATTATTTTTTTATAGGGATGGGTGTGTTCCCAGCTTTGCTGCCGTGCCAGGGTGGGAGAGGTGCCCTGGCACACGTGGCTTTGCTCTGTGCTTTGGGAATTCTCTGGGCATGCGGATGGAGGTGCCCAAGGGTTGCAGTTTTTGCATCCCCCAATCCTGAGCCTCCGAAATTCCTCCTTTAAGGAGCAAACCCTGGAGCATCCCGGGGCTCACAGGGAGTGGCAGCACTTGGAAAAGGAGATTCCTGCCCTTGGGAAGCACGGCTGGGTCGTGCCAGGGCAGGTTTGGCTGCCCTTGGGTGAGTCCCACCAGCACCTCCAGGACCAGCAGCTCCCATGGCACTGGGAAGGCAGTGCTGGTGCTGATGGGCCTCACCATGACCTGCTGGGGAGATATCTCCTTTCCCTCGGGGATATCAGATCCTTTGGGATAAGAAGATAAAGATTGTGGTGGCTGGGAGCTCTGCAGGGAGGCAGGATCCCATCAGGCTCTGCTCACACTGCATCCAGCTCTGCCTCAGCTCGTTCCAGGGATTTCACTCCCTCATTTTCCATGGAAAGGAGGAAGGGAGAGAGGGGAGAAGTGGGGGGAACAGAGAATTAATCAGCTTAGGGTCAGCACAGGAAAAAACACTGCTTAAATGGGTAATCCCCGGGCTGAAATCAGCTCAGAGCTGCGGAATCAATGCGCAGCCGGATGGGTTTTGCTCCTTCCCTCCCTCCTTCCCACTCCAAGGACAGGGGGTGGGGACAGGCCGGGACTCCAGCGTGGCTTTTGCACCCTTGCTTGGTGTCACTCCCTGATTCAGAGCTTTCCAGAGAGCACCTTGCCCCAGATATGTGGGTTTGGGGCACCCCCAGGCCGTGGGGAGCAGAGCTGGTCCCTGGGATGGGATCCTGTGGGATACACAGCCAAAGCCATCCCCGCCCTGGGGACAGAGACAGGGATTTGCAGCTCTTTCCACCCTGGGAGCAGTTCATTGTGCCCTGGAATGGGAGGCAGGTGTGGGAATGAGGAGGGGAAAATCCCTTTTATCCTGGGGATCCAATCCCTGCTCAGCTCTGAGGGTGCGGGAGGTGCCTCAGAGCATCCCTGTGATGTCTTGGGAGGCTGAGCTGGAGCAGAGGCTGCACAGAGCTAAGGAATAAAGCAGGGATTTATTCCAAGGATGTCCTCCATGGATCCACCTGGGGCAGCACAAGAGCCCAGCCAGGGCTGCCCCCAGGATGAACCCAAATGGTCCCAAAATGCACGAGCGCTGCCGGGGTCTCTCCCTGGGCTCAGCTCTGCTCCATGTGCACATTGCAGTTCATTGTCCAGTTCCAGCTGCAGCCCATCCAGTCCCATCCTGCTTGTTTTTCTCTCTGCAGCCCACGGGGTTTGTGCTCTGGGGCTGAGATTTGGATCATTTGTCCTTGGTGCCCAGCTGGAGCAGGAATTGTTTTGTGTCCCTGCTCTGTGCAGAGAGCTCAGCATCCCCTGATGTGAGCCCAGACCCACACACTAAAGCAGCACAGAACCTGAAAAATAGAAGAGAGGCATCACCTCCCTGCAGGAAATGGAGATCTCCTGTAGGTGAGGGGGGGCAGAGCCCTCCAGCTCCTTTGGAACATCCAGGGATCACATGGATGTGATTCTGCTGCTGGCAGAAACCAAGGGCAGCTGCCCAGCATCCTGCCTGCCCGCAGCCAGGAGCTCTGGAGTCCCAGCAGGAAAAGCAGAAATGCTGGGAAATGAGCAGAGCTCAGCTCAGGGAATGTCCCTGCACGGCTCAGCCTGGCAGGGGTTTGTCACTGTGGGGACACTGGAATAAATGACCCAGAACTCTCAGCAGGTGCCAGAACCTTCCTGAAACCTGGGGCAGCGTGGGCTGGCCCCGGCTGATGTCACCCTTCTCAAAAATGAAGGGGGATGGGACTTTCTTCATTCCTGGCCCTGCCTGCCAGGCGCAGTGACACCTCTGGGGCTCTGCAGGGCCAGGGTGGCCTTTTCCTGCGGGCAGGGAGGGGAGATTGCTGGAAAGAGCAGGAGGCAGAACAGGTTGGAGTGTGTCAGTGAGAGCGTGCTCAGGGCTGTGCCTGGGGGGAAGGTGAGAAGTTCTATTTTTAGGCTTCCACCTGTGCTCAGGTTTGGGGGCTTGGTCAGGGCTGGAATTTGAGGAGGAAGCTGTGGATGGAGCTGGAGCAGGGGCTGCCATGCCCTGAGTGCATTCCTCTGGGAATGAGCCAGGGCTGTCCTGGGCCATCCCTGGATCTGCCCTGGCCCATCCCTGGGCTGTCCTGGGCTCCTTCTGCAGCTCCTCCTGCACCTCTGAGGTTTGTGTGCTGACATCCCAGGGCAGCTCTCCACCACCCCGGGATATTTTGGGGTTAAAGAGGCAGCATTTGGGGGTGGTCTGACCCCCGGCACTGAGCATCCCCCGTGCCCGGGGGCTGGGGAAGGTGTCCGTGAGTCACAGGCAGCTCTGGGTGACTCACGGAGCTGTCTGGGTCAGGGTTACTCATTAACACCTTCCCAGCTCGGGTGGCCTGGGAACAAAGCTCTCCTCCCACCACCCCTCTGCCGGGGCTGGGGCTGGGATATGGCTCGGGACAGGCGCTGGGAATTGGGCTGGACGAGGCTCAGGCAGCTGTGGCTGTGCCAAGGGGCTCCCTGGGCCTGGCTGAGCCTCCTGGGCTGGTTTGGATCCTCCTGGCACAGCCCTGGGGGCACACGGGAACCCACAGAGAAGCTGCCCCATCCCTGGAAGTGTTCCAGGGACCTTGGGACAGTGGGACGTGGCAGGGGGTGACACTAGATGAATTTTAAGGTCCTTTCTCCCCCAAACCATTCCATGAGTCCACAGTGCAGCACATCCCGCAGTGCTGGTGGTGGAGGAGGCAGCGTGGCCAGGGTTTATTCCCAAGGATCCCAAATTCCCAGCCCAGGTCACCCCTGGGCAGGCTGGGGACGTGAGCTGGCCCAGCCTGGGGGGCTCTGCCTGGGGGGGAGCAGGGAGGAAGGAGCTGGAAGGATCCCCCTGTGAGATGGGACACGTGTGACACTCAGGGAGGGATGGACACAGGGAGAGAGGGGTGGAAATAGAGAGAGAGAGGTGGAAATAGGGAGAGAGGGGTGGAAATAGAGAGAGAGAGGGGGAAATAGGGAGAGAGGGGTGGAAATAGGGAGAGAGAGGTGGAAATAAGAAGAGAGAAGAATGGAAATAGGGAGAGAGAGATGGACACAGGGAGAGTGGGATGGACACAGACATGCCAGGACTTCCCTTTTCCAGGTTTTTGGAGCCAGGCTGAGCCCAGCCTGGATGTGGGTGCCGGGCCAGGGCACGATGTGCTGAGGCAGCTCTGCAGGGAGCAGTTCCTGCAGTGGGGCTGTGGCTCTGCAGCTGCATTTTTGTCAATCCAGCCCTTTGGATGGAAGAATTGCAGCAGTAAAAGCGGAACTGGGGCATGTCTGAGCAGGCCCAGGGGTCTGAGGGAGCAGCAGGGAGGTGGGAGCTGCCAGAATCCTGTCCCTGCCTCTTGGATCCCTTTCCTGTTTGGCTTTGCTGCCCACACAAGTGCTCTCACTGTCCGGGGATGCTCCCACCCTCCACAGCCAAAATTCCTGTTTTATTCCTTCCCTTTGCTCTGCTCCTGGAGAACAGGGGTTTGGGGAGGGCAGGAGGCAGATCGCATCCCAAAATGTGCAGGTGCTGTCCTGCTGCAGACCCAGCACCTCCTCTGTGGATCTGTGGATCCTCTGCTCCTGTGGGATGCTGCTGGGCCCTCGTTCCCTCCCTGCTCTCCTGGGATGTTGTGGGCGCTCCTGGAGAGGCCAGAAACCCCGGGGCTGGTGGCCAGGAGCTGCTGGTGGCTCGCAGTGTGTGGCCTGGCTGTGCTGCTCCTCCCTGGGGCTCGGGGAAGCAGATGGTCCCTCCTGGGGGATGGGGGAGGAACAGGAAAATCTGCACCTGAAATCTGCCCGGCTGGGGGGGCACGGGGGAAGGAGCAGGGTTTTGTAGGGCAGGGGGGTCTGGGTGGGGGAGAGCAAAGGGCTCTGTCCTGTGGGTTAGGCTGGGACACTGAGCAGGGTTCACACATTCAGGATGAGCTGGTGTCCCCAGGACAGGCAGGGGACATCACTGCTGGTGTGTCCAGTGCTGTGATGTCCCCAGGATGGGCAGGGGACATTGCTCCTGGTGTGTCCAGTGCTGTGATGTCCCCAGGATGGGCAGGAGACATTGCTCCCAGTGTGTCCCCGCAGTGCTGTGCTGATGTCCTCAGGACAGGACAGGCAGGGGACATCACTCCCAGTGCTGTAATGTCCCCAGGATGGGTAGGGGACATCGCTCCCGTGCCCCTCTCCCTGCTGTGCTGTACTGATGTCCCCAGGACAGGACAGGCAGGGGACATTGCTTCTGGTGTGTCTCTCCCCACAGTACTGTGCTGATGTCCCCAGGACAGGCAAGGGGACATTGCTCCTGATGTGTCCCTGCCCACGGTGCTGTGATGTCCCCAGGACAGGACAGGCAGGGGACATCGCTCCCAGTGTGTCCCTCCCTGCAGTGCTGTGATGTCCCCAGGACAGGACAGGCAGGGGACATTGCTCCTGATGTGTCCCTGCCCGAAGTGCTGTGATGTCCCCAGGACAGGACAGGCAGGGGACATTGCTCCCAGTGCTGTGATGTCCCCAGGTTGGGCAGGGGACACTGCTCCGTGCCTCTCCCCGCAGTGCAGTTGTCCCCAGGACAGGACAGGCATGGGACATCTCTCCCGGTGTGTCCAGAGCTGTGATGTCCCCAGGGCGGGCAGGGGACAGGCTCCGTGCCCCTCCCCGCAGTGCCAGGCTCCTGCCCCATCCCTCCCTGCCCGGGCTGCTCGGGGCGGAGGCGGCAGGAAGCGCTTTGATGTGCGGGTGTTGCCCGCGCCGGAGCTGCGATAACAGATCAGAGCAGCCCCGGGCTGCGCTATCGCTGTCGCCCCGTGCCCTCTGATCGCTCCGGCCGCGGCGCTTCAAACGCGGCTGCCGCTGCCCGGCGCTCCCTGCTGCGCTGGGGCTCCCCGACCCCTGAGGCCCCGTGGGTCCAGCCCAGGGCTTCGACCCTCTGGGTGCTCTCCTCGGGCACTGGGTGCCTCTGGGGTGTCACCCGTGTCCCTGCCTGTCCCACACCCCAGAGCCTGGCATGCCCTGCAAACCCCAGGGATGCTCACGAGGCAGTTGGAGCCTGCCTGTCCCAGATCCTACTGGTCTGTGCTCCCCAGAGCCTGGGAATGCAGGGTTGATGCTCATGAGGTGCCTCTGGACCTTCTTAGAGGACACTGGGTGCCTCTGGGACGTCACCAGTGTCCCTGCCTGTCCCATATCCTGCTGTGCACAGGTCCCCAGAGCCTGGGAGGTTGGGGTTGGTGCCCTGCAAACCCCAGGGATGCTCATGAGGTGCCCCCGGGGTGCCACCAGTGGTGTTTGAGCTCCCTCTCTGTCCCAGATCCTACTTGCCTGTGCTCCCCAGAGCCTGGGAATTTGGGGTTGATGACCTCCAAACCCCAGTGATGCTCACAAGGTGCCTCTGGACCTTCTTAGGGGGCACTGGGTGCTTCTGGAATTTCACCACCATCCCTGCCTGTCCCACGTCCTGCTGTGCACAGGTGCCTATCCCCTGGGAATTTAGGTTTGATGCCCTACAAACCCCAGGGATGGTCATGAGGTACCCCTGGGGTGCCACCACTGATGTTTGAGCTCCTTGTCTGTCCCAGATCCCGCTGGTCTGTGCTCTCCAGAGCCTGGGAATTTGGGGTTGATGACCTCCAAACCCCAGTGATGCTCACAAGGTGCCTCTGGACCTTCTTAGGGGGCACTGGGTGCCTCTGGGGTGTCACCAGTGTCCCTGCCTGTCCCGCGTCCTGCTGTGCACAGGTCCCCATCTCCTGGGAATTTAGGATTGATGCCCTACAAGCCCCAGGGATGCTCACAAGGTGCCTCTGGACCTTCTTAGGGGGCACTGGGTGCCTCTGGGGTGTCACCAGTGTCCCTGCCTGTCCTGCGTCCTGCTGTGCACAGGTCCCCAGAGCCTGGGAATTTAGGATTGATGCCCTACAAGCCCCAGGGATGCTCACAAGGTGCCTCTGGACCTTCTTAGGGGGCACTGGGTGCCTCTGGGGTGTCACCAGTGTCCCTGCCTGTCCTGCGTCCTGCTGTGCACAGGTCCCCAGAGCCTGGGAGGTTGGGGTTGGTGCCCTGTAGGGCTCCAGGGTGCCCCCGAGGCACCCCTGGGATGCCACCACTGATGTTTTACCTCCCTGTCCATCCCAGATCCCACTGTGCAGTGATCCCCAGCCCCTGGAATTTGGGGTCAGTGCCCTGTAGGGCTCCAGGGTGCCCAGGGGGCAGGCAGGAGGATTTGCAGCTCTCAGCTGTGGTTCCCAGCAGCATGTGGGAGTGCTCAGGAGAGGCTGGGGGAGAGGAGGAGGAGGGTTTGGGGCTGCTCCATCTCCTCCTTCCACATCACCCAAACCCTGGGTTTGGTGCTGAGGGAGGATCAGCCCCTGCTCCAGCCCAGCCTGGCCCTTCATTAACCCTGCTTTTCCTTCACAGGTCTGTGCTGGAGCCTCGGGGTGAGGGACAGAGGGACAGCCAGGACAGCCAGGAGCAGCTCCCAAGGACAGCACAGACACTGCAGCTGGAGCAGAGGGACAGAGGGACAGAAGGACAGCCAGGAGCAGCTCCCAAGGACGGCACAGACACTGCAGCTGGAGCAGAGGGACAGAGGGACAGCCAGGAGCAGCTCCTGAGGCCAGGATGGACACTGCAGCTGCAGCTGGAGCAGAGGGACAGCCAGAACAGCCAGCACAGCCAGGAGCAGCTCCTGAGGTGAGGATGGACACTGCAACTGCAGCTGGAGCAGAGGGACAGAGGGACAGAAGGACAGCCAGGAGCAGCTCCTGAGGCCTGCACAGACACTGCAGCTGGAGCTGAGGGACAGCCAGGAGCAGCTCCCAAGGACAGGATGGACACTGCAGCTGGAGCAGAGGGACAGAAGGACAGGAGGACAGCCAGGAGCAGCTCCTGAGGCCAGCACAGTCCAGCAGCTGCAGCTCAGGACCAGCAGCTCCCTGGGCACTGTGGCCCATCAGGGCTGGCAGAGGCTCTTCCCCGAGCTCCAGAAGCAAGCCCAGCTCAGCTCCTGCCCAGCCTGGCTGGCTGCACATCCCTCCAGGAGCTGAGCTCCTCCACGTGGAACTCGCAGGACTCAGGAGCAGTTTTCTGCTGGCCTTTGGGAATTATCTTTTGGGATCCTGCCTGTGGATGGATGGTGAATGCTCCTGGCTCAAGCAGGAGCTCAGTGCTTTTCTCTGACAAGGACCAAGCACTTGCCTGGTTCCCAGTGGATATTTTCGGTCTGTTTTTACTCCTCTGCTCTTTTTTTTGCTGTTTTTTGGGGGTTTGGGTGCAGTGGATCCCGTGGTGGGGACTGGAGCCTTTGGAAGAGCAGGAGCTGAGCTGCTGCTGGGGTTTCAGAGTGGCAGAGCCTCATCCTGTGCTGGGTGGCCTCAGGACAGTCCTTGTGCCACAGCCAGAGCATCCCAGTGGGTCCCAGTGCAGCTGGGACCGTGGAGCAGGAGCAGGGATGGGGGGAAGCCAAACCCCAGCCCGGGGAATGTCACAGTGAGGGGAATGTCACCCTCAGAGACAATTAAATTGCAATTAATAAACCCCTTTGGCTCTGTGAGTGCTTTTCCATTTGCCACCTTTCCAGGGGGTTTTGGGGATGCCTTGGACTGTCCAGGAAACCTTGAGAAACTCCTGTCCTAACAAAGCCAGCCCAGGAGTTTAACACCTTCATTTTCCAGGAAAGTTCTCCCCTGTGCTTTCCCTCTTCCCTTTCCAGCCTTTAACCACCACTGCCATCCCTCCTGCTCCAAAAGCCACTGAAATGCAAATTATTTCCCCTAAAGTCCTGTTGTTAATTGTGCCTGGGTCCTGTTCCCTCCTCCCCTGTAAGCACCGGAAGGTGCCCTGTGGAAATAGAACATGAAAGGGATATTTATGTAGTGGAAATACCCATTTATGATAATTTTTTTTTTTAGGATTTTGAACATTATTTAACATAAAAAGGGGTCCTGTCATAAGAAAAGCACAGTGGCCTCATGAGCATGGATTCAGAATCATTATTTGGAGCAGCCAGGGTGACTGGAAGTTTCTGCCAGGATCATTTAGGCTGGAAAAGGTTTCCAGGACTGAGTCCAAGCTGTGGCTGATCCCCACCTTGCCATTAAACCAGAGCACCGAGGTCCTGCTCCCCCTGTGCCATCCTTTCCCAGCACAGAATCCTGCATGGATGGGCACAGGGACAGGTCCAGGGATGCGCTGTGAGGGACATGGGAGGTGGGATTTTTGGGGTTCCTGAGGAGCATTCCCCTCAAAGGCCTTTGGATGCCCCAGCCCGAGCAAACACAGCCAGGGGAGGGTGGGACCTTCCTGGGTGAGCAGCTGGAAGAGCAGCCTGGCCTTCGTGCCAGGAAACCCGGCCTGGGTGCAGGAGGGATCCAGGGATTTATGGGTTTGCTTTCCCACTGCAAACATTAACCCTCGCTGGGCAGGAATGCCGATGTCCTGCACGGAATTCCCTGGCTGCTCCTGGGGCTGGGAGTGCTTTGGGATGTTCCCAGTGCTCTGAGGAGGGGCTGGCAGCCCCAGTCCCCCAGGAATGGGAATTACCCCACAGCTGCCCCAAGCTAAGCTCATTTTCCTCTAAGCTCCTGTGCTTTGGTCGCACTCAAGGAGAGGAAATTCTGCTGCCAGAATTCTGCTCCCTTCCACCGGAGAATTCGTGGAGCCAGGAGCAGGATGAGCCACCCCAGCCCCAGCTCTGGGAGCCCTGCTCCTGCTCCCTGCTGCTCCCGCTGATGTTTTCCGGGTGCCTGGAATGGCAAAACCTTCCCCGAGCGTGGCCTGACGTCCTCCCCCTCTCCAAATTAAGTGCCAGCCCTGCTTCAGCCTAATTAAAACCAGCAATGAGGACTGGGCCAGGCTGTAAAATTCTAGGACAGTTTTATGTGGAGCAATTAAAAGGAAGGTAAAAAAAAATTGTTAAGAAATTAAACACTAATTACTTTTTTTTTTTTGGCCAGCTGAGCTGTTTTGGCAGTGGGGCTGTGAGGGGGATGCAAAACCTGGGATGGTCGGGTCCCTGCTGCCATAAATCTGCTGCATCAAATGTTCCCCTGCTTCTGAGCCCTGTAACTCATCTGCTGCCAATTAACCTAAATCACGTTTTTTCAATTAAAATTCGAGGCCTGATGGCAGAGCCTGGGCTTCAGCGAGGTGGAAATATCTGTTTTAAAAGGTGTGATCCCGTGTTAGTGTTTTCCATGTGAAATGGGATGTAAATGCCTGGGCAGCTCTGAGGATCCTGGGGGCATTTCCAGGGAATCCCACCTGGGGAGTTTGGAGCATGGCACCTCCCTGCCTGCAGGAAAACTCCCTTGGGCTGGAATTTTTGCCCGGGGTGGACATTTCCAGGCAGGGGCTGCCTGAGGGCTCCCAAGTGCAGATCCCAATCCCGGTGTTTGGGGTGGGAATGGTGCCTTGTGTAACACCTGGATAATTGGCCTTGGATGGGGAAGGAAGCTGCTGCTTCCTCTCTCTGTGTCTGGTCTTGCTCCCGAGCATTTTCTCTGGTGCTTGGAAAAGGAAAACAGGCGCTGAAGTGTTGGGAAAGAGGGGAGGAAGGGCAGGGCTTGGAGCGAATGGTTCCTTTTGTACCTGCAGCCACCCTGCCTTAAAAATCCCCATAAAGGGTGATGAACCTTCCCAGGGTGGAAGGAGAGGATGAGGAGCTGCTCCTGGCCCCAGGAGGAGGAAATACCCAAGTTCCCTGTTTCCCTGCACTCCTCCTGGAGCTTGGTCCCTGCAGGGGATGTTGGGAATGGGTGGCCCATAAATCCTGGGGGTGCAGACACAGAAGTCCCCCTGGATGAGTCCATGGAATGGAGTTATCGCCTTCCTGGATAGAAATGGAGCTTCACGCCCCTGGTTCCAGGCTCTGCAGGAGCTTCAGGGATGGGGAGGACACTCGTGGTCTTCCCACCTGTCCCCACACCAGGATGTGCTTCCAAAACCTCTGGAGACCCCACAGTGTCATCCTGTAATTCCAATTATTCCCCCATCCGCCCCCAAAAATCGCCTGGGGCTCCTTGTTCCTCTGACAAGCCCCTGCAGGTTTTCCTGTTAGGAAACCCAGGCTGGTTTATTAATACCCGTAATGTTAATTGCTGTAATTGGGAGGCTGGCTGCCCGCTGCCGGGGATGTGGGTGTGGAAACTGCAGGAATGTTCTCCCGGAGAGGGGAGGACGCTCCTGTGGTTATTGTGGTGATGGGGTTGTGGCTTTGGGCTCAGCTGCTGAAAGAAGGCTGAGAAACCCAAATGGATCTCCTTGGTTTAGGCTAAAAATACATCCCAGCGGGATTCACATGGTAATTAGTGCCTGCTAATTAACCAGCGCCCCAGGGAAAGGTGGCGATTCCCAGGGCTTTGGATCAGTGATCCCCTCGCACCCCAAAGGAGCCCCAGGGATGCCCAGGGGGGGCATCGACCCCCGGCCTGGCAGTGCCAGCCCTGGACCAGCCGAGGGTTCTTGGCTCATGGGGAGGATTATTCCAAGTGCAGAATGGAGCATTTCCTGATTTCCCTGCTCTCAGTGACGAGAGCAGCCCTTGCCCTTGCCCAGCCGGTGGAATTCCTTTCGGGAAAGGGCAGGGAGCAGGGGAGGGGGGCAGTAAATCTGATTTAATCGCGGTGACACGGCCCGCGGGGGTTAATCTGATCCAGGCTTAGGGCAGTGCCAGGCACGGGCACTCCCCAGCCAGGGGGTCCTGGGGTGGGAGAGGGAAAAGGAGAGGCCTGGGCGTCCTCAGCTCCACACGGAGCTTTTGGGAAGGCTCTGCTTTTCCCACTGGAGGTGGTGGGATCCGGGCAAAGCGAGGGTTTGGTGGGAATGGCCATCCCTGGAGCGTTCAGGCTTGGATGGGCTTGGAGCAGCCTGGGAGAAGTGGAGGTGTCCCTGCCCCTGGAGCAGCTGAGCTTTCAGGTCACCAGCCCAAACCATTCCAGGATCTTGTGTCTCTCCTGTAGATCCTGATGGAGAAACCTCTTCCCTCCTCTCCTGAGAAATATCCACACCCTGCATCCCAGGCCTGCTGCTGTTCCCTGAGCATTCCTTCAGTGCTTTCCATGTGCTGCTGGGACTTTGTCACCTCTGGGGACAGGCTGGATGTGGCACTCATATTTTCTGGAAAAATCCCTTCACTCAGGATTTCTCTCCTGGGAAGCTGAGAAGCCTCAGAGAAAAAGGAAAACAATTCTTCTCTCATTTGCTTCTCCTGTGTTTTGCTCCTTTGGAATGTGCTTGGAGATTGTTCACCCACAGGTGATTGTTCCATTGGGTTCTGCTGTGAGTTGTTTTCACTCTTTGGCCAATCAGGGCCAAGCTGTGCCAGACTCTGGTTGGAGTCACAAGTTTTCTTTACTATCTTCTTAGCCTTCTGTCTCTATCCTTTCTGTATTATTTTGTATAGCATTCTTTAATATAATTCAGTATCATCAAATAATAAATTAGCCTTCTGAGAACACGGAGTCAGATTCATCATTCCTTCCTTTGTCTGGGAACCCCACAAATACAATAGCTGGAGAATTGGGAGAGATTTTTGGGCAGCCCCAGAG